CCCCAAAACCCCAAAACCCCAAAACCCCAAAACCCCAAAACCCCAGGTGGCTAAATTTGTGTTGAAAGTGGCGTTTGAGAACTGTCTAATATATTCACTAATTCAAAAACCTAGTGTAAATTATAATTAACTCAGTCAAACTAGAAATTTAAGATTCCAACTAGCAAGCAAATTTGAAAGGCTCCAGAAGGAATAACTCACTTGGTTAACCCACCAAACAGTAACTCTTCTTAAGAACAGAAACGAAATAGGACTTCAAGGTGTATTGAACAGAGAAATTAGAATCAAAGTTGAATTCTGCAATACACATATACACAAATTTTGATTAAAAAATGAAGAAGGAATCAGCCTAGTTTTACTAAAAATTAATGACTTTCAATCTCAGTCTTGTGAGACAGTACCAGATTCTATGTCTTGGGATAATTTAGCTGTTGAGGGATCCCACCTTTACAGATTTTATTTTATCCTTGTCAAATTCGACCTTGCAGAGAGGACATGTAGCTTTACGAGAACACCAATCTCCAATACAGGTTGAATGGAAGTGGTGTCTTTGATCACAAGGAAGTCTCAAGATATTATCGTCTTCATTGAATTCCTCCAAGCAAATAGCTCATTGGTCGTCTTCGTTGAGGTCATCGAGGTTCAGTTGAAGGTTTACAGCATTGAGGAGTACATCTTTCAATCTACGATTCTTTCTGTTCTCTTTCTTTTTCAATTGTTGGTGACGACACAAGCAGATTATCACACAGCAAATTAGGATGCTTAGGAAGGTGACGAAAAGGAGCATCAAGAATGACTCTATGAGGAGTATAAAATGAGCCACATAAAGAGCTCTCTGCTGATCATGTCAATCATTGTCACTTGAGAAAAATGAGACTATTATGTAAATATACCACGATAAGAAGAGGAACATCAAGATTAGCTTGATAAGACCTATATTCGTGGATTTTCAGATGCGCTTATAGATGAGAAACATATATAAAATCTCTATAGGAACCGCAAAGGTAAACTTAATTATAAGGGCTGCATAAACTACAGCCTTTGTATTTCCACCTCATGTTCCACTTCCTGCAATTATTATACAAACGACCATGGCAACAAAACCGGTCATGGAGCAGCACAAATTCTTAAAGAAGTTTTTCCTGTAGTTTTGAAAGTCAGTGACCCAGTTATGGTTATCTTCCTCAGCACGAACCTCTTCTTGCTGTTGATTTTGATTTTCTTCTACTTCCATTTTATTATTATTAATCTAATTCTTCAACATTGGAGCAAGCTATTGGGGTTTTGGGGTTTTGGGGTTTTGGGGTTTTGGGGTTTTGGGGTTTTGGGG